ATGTGATGTAATGGATATGGAGTGGTTTAACGTGATGTTGTAATGGAAGCTAGATGTTTAGCAAAACCATTATTTGAGAGAGTTTGTGAAGTCTGGGTTGTAAAATCATTTGTTGTTTGTTTATAACCAGAGAGTTTATTTAAAAACCATCCGACGCAATCTGTGCCAAATCTACGCACCCTTTGGGTGGAGATTCTCGTTCGATCCAGGGGATCAAAAGGTCGTGCTGGTCACTGCCGGTGGAGTGAACCTCTGATATCAGGAACCCGTAGATAGCTCAGATAGGACTTGTCTAGTCTGAGATCTCCCCAGGTGACTGCAGGAAGCTGGAATGCTTGTTTGCATCTAAGGCTGCTTTTTGCCTCTTAGAAGAGCCGTTTGTCTGATATCAGCCGGAGCACTACAGAGGCTTTGACTGGAGGTCAAAGAGACGGTTTGAAAAATACTTGTTCCCGAATTGGCCGGTTCGAGAGTCAGCTAGGAACTGAATTAATCGGGAAGTAATTCTTGTTTTAATGAACTCTTTGCTTATAAAATCTGAATGCTCCATGTCTTGAGGGCTTACCAAAACATTGCTCAGAAGACACGCCTTCTTCAGATACAAAGATGTTTAACACTTTGTGAATGAGAATGTTGTAAAACTTTTATGTGAGGTATATATTACCTATCTGAGTGTAAACAATGATTAGCTTGTTAAATCAAACACATGCTGATCATAAGATCTGAAATGGATCATTATAAGATAAGGCTGCATGGTGGCGCAGTGGTTAGCACTGTTACCTCGCAGCACGAAGGTTGCAGGTTCGAAACTCGGCTGCGGCCTTTCTGCGTGGAGTTGCGTGTTCTCCCCATGCATGCGTGGGTTTCCTCCGGGTACTCCGGTTTCCCCCACAGATCACAACATGCCCTATAGGTTATAAATTGTAAGTCGCTTTGGATAAAAGCGTCTGCTAAATAAATAAACATAAACATAAGAGCAATACTCATTTTAAAGCCATCACTGGTTTAAGCACAGATTATTCAAACATTTGATTTAAACATCTTGTTCATTCAACACATATGATTATTTAAGCTTATGAGTTGTAAAGTCCTGTAGGAGCTTCGAGTAGGTTTGATATGTATTTAGGGTGAGGAATGCAGCAGCCAGGCTCGTGCATCAGACCTTGGGTGAGAATGTCCGTCTGAATGTTTTGTCTTCTTTATGTAAACAAGCACTGCGCAGAACCTTCTGGATTTGGAGGTCTGATAGATAGTGGGTTTATGTCTGCAAATGAAAGGCCATCCTGTGGTCAATTAGATGGTGAAAATTAACCCTTTGGTACGTAACATGACCTGGAGAGATGTCGTTGGGAGGAACGGCCCCAGTGATTTGAATCAGAGCTGTGTTTTGTTATTGGACTTACTGTATGTGCACGTCATGGGCTGTCCAAAATGAACACCATGTTCAAACATTAAGTTGTCTATATGTGCTCTTGACACCATGATACCTTATACCGCAGAATGACCAACTTTGTTGTTGTTTGTCTGATCTGTGGCAGCATGTCTTGGACACTCGAGTGAAGAGAGGGGCGGAGCTGTCAACCGACCACTTCCTGGTGGTGAATTGGCATTGACGGTGGGGGAGGATTCTGGTCTAAACGTATTGTGAGGGTCTGCTGGGAATATCTGGCAGTCTCCTGTCAGAAGGAGTATCAATTCCCACCTCAGACAAAATTTCGAACACGTCTGAGAGGAGGAAGGGGACACTGAGTCTGAGCGAGCCATGTTCTGTGATTTTCTTTAAAAAAGCCACCCTTTGCTCTGATTATTGCTTTGCACACTCTTGGCATTCTCTTGATGAGCTTCAAGAGGTAGTCACCTGAAATGGTTTTCCAACAGTCCTGAAGGACTACCTCTTGAAGTTCTTCAAGAGAATTCCAAGAGTGACCGCAAGCTTCCTGTAAATTTGTCAACAACTCCGTTAAAAAGTAAAAAGATATTTAGCGGCAGACCCAGAACAGATTAACCCTCCCACTGTCTTTATGGGTGACCCCGCAAGGAAAGTTGGCCATTGAGCAGGGTTGATGGTTTATCCGTTGGGTCCATGTGGCAGGGGTGAGGAGTGAGCACCACCTCACCCCTGCCACATGGACCTCAAGAGATAAACCATCAATCCTGCTCAATGGCCAACTTTCCTCGCGGGGTCACCCATGAAGACAGTGGGAGGGTTAAAGAATGCATCTCAGAAAAAGTTTGCAAATATGAACGTTTATTCACCCGTGACTGAAGAAGTACAAAATGTGGAGCAAATGTGAACAAAAATGACAGGGAACAACGACAACAACAATAATAATAATAATAATAATGATACATTTTATTTAAAAGCGCCTTTCAGGACGCCCAAGGTCACTTGACAGGAAAAATACATTCAGTAAAATGCATTAAAACAACTAAAAACCACAATGAAGAAAAGAACATAGAAAAAAAACTATTCAAATAAAATCAGAGGTCATAGGCAGATTTGAACAGGTGTGTCATGAGTCTGGATTTGAAAAGGGTGAAACTGTCAATATTTCTGATGTCTGGGGAGAGTGAGTTTCAGAGACGGGGAGCAGAGCAGCTGAAAGCTCTGCTCCCCATGGTAGTGAGACGGGCAGTAGGAACAGCAAGATGGAGGGCGGAAGATAATCTGACGGAACGGGAGGGGGTGGTAATACTTAAAAGATCTGAAATATATGGAGGAGAGAAGTTGTGGATGGCTTTGAAGGTATGGAGGAGAATCTTGAAGATGGACCGAAAATTAACTGGAAGCCATTGAAGCTGCTGGAGAACCGGGGTGATGTGGTGAAAGGCAGGTGTTCTGGTGATAATACGGGCTGCTGAGTTCTGGACCAGTTGAAGTTTATGAAGGAGTTTGTAAGACAGACCAAAAAGAAGTGAATTGCAGTAATCAAGACGGGAGGTGATGAGACTGTGGACAAGAATGGCGGCAGTGTGAGGGGTAAGGGAGGGGCGGAGACGGTTTATGGATCGAAGATGGAAATGGGCTGACCGAGAAACATGGGTTTAGAGGTGGCGACTACATGAAGAGGTGGAGGAGAATGAAGGACAAATTAGTAAAATTTTTTGTAAATTTGTATCAACACTATGAAATATAACACATTAGTAAATACACTATCGTGGACCGGATACATGAGTGCTAGGGTGGCATGATACCACAGAAAAGCGCTACCCCCTCTGTTGTCCTGGAGAATTGCTTTGAAACACTCGGCTTCTTGCGCAGAAGTTTGCATGTGAAAACCTTTCCGACACTCCTTGTGAGTCTCTCCATTGCAGAGCTCACGGAGGAGTATACATCAGGCTTTAGGCTCCCTCCCAGGGTGTCCTGGATTGGTGTCTTGGCTGCTGCCGTGGATCTACTGCTGTCAAGGCAGATGGCTCCCTTGATGGCGTGTCTTTCATTACCTGTTCAATCTGAGCTCAGCCTAGTGTTTACTGTGGTCTTTTAATGTGTTGTGTGTGTGTGTGCCTGGGAATGGTTTGTGAATTGGGGGTGAAACAGTCATAATTGTTTTTAAGTGTTGGAAAGGGAGGGAATGTGGGTTATATGGGTCATTTTAATCTGTTAAGCACTTTGTGTTGCTCCCGGTGCATGAAAAGTGCCATATAAATAAAGTTTGATTTGATTAGGCTACTTCCCCCGCAGCCCGACACTGGATAAGTGGTTGACAATGAACGGATAGAAGGCATCCTGCTGATTTTAGAGGTTCCTCCGTTTTAACACAACTTAATTTTAATCAGTTTGTGTTTAACAGGCTTCTGAATCAGGTGTGTTCATTCAAAATGACTTTTTTTTTCATTTCTGGGAGGAAATATATGTTTACTCTGTGGGTTTATTTCCTATATTTCATGTTCCATATTTCTTTATCCACAAATACAAATACCCTGTACTTTATGGAAAATATGTCAGGCTAATTTGAATGATTGATTTTGTTGCATTTTCTGATGTTATTTGATGATTTATACATGTAAATGTTTTGATTTGTGCCTACTTTTTATGAACACACCTTCCAGTTTTAAAAATCAGTAAAACTTTGATTTAAAAGAGTTTGGTACTTTTAGGCATTTTCCTTTTTACTCCTACTCATTAGAGGTCAGGTTGTAAAGCAACAGGTTAGGAGAGAGATGTTGATCTAGCCATACACTCCAAGGCATTCCCGAACTAGAACGTTTTAAAATTCATCCAGTGAGCTCTAGGTGTCTGCAAGGTGTCACGGATCAGGAAAAATGACCAGGTGCTTGTGCCACCGGACCAATAGACCATCTCCTGCTTCATTCTTGCATCAGAAGTGAATAAAACACTAATTATCTCTGTTTAAGGCAGATTCATTCCCAAATTGATTGAAAAAGTCCACCTGTCTATGGTTAAGAGTAAAGACTTTAGACTCACAACGGTCTCTCTTCCCATCTGCTTCACACAGGAAGCATAGCTCAGTGGTAGAGCATTTGACTGCAGATCAAAAGGTTCCCAGTTCAAATCTGGGTGCTTCCTTAATTAAGGAGAATGTTATCAGTATTTAGCTGAGGAAATGCAAATGCCGTTTTCCTGGCAAGAGGACATTGGCTTAGTCTGTTACAGGACACATCAGACGCTTCACAACACGTCAAGCTCCTCTAGCGGGTCATGAGAGTCACAATAATTATTCATCTCAAATGAAAAATTCTGAAAATCTTAATTACTGTTAAGTATAAAGGACTGCAGCAAACAATTAAAAAAATAGCCAATAACATATTTTAAAGTTAAATATCAGACTGAGTAGTATCAGTGTTGCTATTGTTGGTGTGACCACAGGGTGGCGCTGGTACTCCAGCAAGTTTTCTGCACAGTCATCCTTACCCCAGAAGTGGTTTCTATGGGAAAGAACTGGTTGCTGTTGCTAGACATCAGCTTCACCCAAAGGACAATTAACAGAAAATCTGGGGAAGAGTTTACATGTGAATTTAGAACAGATGACAACCACTGTACGTAAACTTTTGACTTTATTGAAAATCTGTAATTTGGACAACCAAGTAATAAATTGCTTTGTGAAAAATGCATCAACATCGCCGTGAGCCTGACAGACCAGTGAATGATGGCTCTCAGATCACAACTGATGGAGGCTTTACAATTTATACAGATATGCTTTAAACATAAAACAAACAGCAGGAAAACTGATTACATTTAAGTACTTAAGAGTTCATTTTGAAGCAACGTTGCAACCAATTACTAAAATGTGTTAACCTTTAAGCCATTTAACCACAAATCATACCACGTATAAGCATTTAATCCCAGACAGATCCAGGGAATATTTAGCAGACACCTGCTTGATGATGTAAACAGATTTCCAAATAAAGTTGTGTACAAGTCTCCCTTTGTACTTTTCAATTCACTGAAAATAACCATGATGATAAGACAACAAACAAAACAAACCTTTAAAATGTCAGACAATGAGGCAAGAATAGAAGAGTTCTCTCAAATCCATCTTCACCAACTCCCAGTCTCTGTTCCTAGACAAAAGGAGCTCCAGGAATGGATTCTTCATACCATAACCTTTTAGTTTTGAAGCAATGGTAATCATTAACAGCCAAGAGCACCGAACAGGAGCAGAGAGGGGAGTCGGTTGGCAGCATATTTAAAACCTGCATAGCAGAAAGCAGCGCGTTGTCAGAGTGCTTTGTCCCAGTCGGTTTCAGCAGAGCCTGGAAATAACCTACAGGTGTTATTGTTGCACTGGCCCTGTGGGACCTGCAGATGTTCCAGCATGACAAAGGAACGCCTACATGATGACACACGGTGCACGGCTTTTGGTGATCTTCTGCACAGGTTTCCCATCAAAAGCAGCCTGGACTGCATTCATGATCTGTGCCAAGACAAGCCAAGATCACAATCAAGCTTAATATGCTTTCTTTACAGTTGATTACAAGTAGCGTGCGGTTTACTTACGTCATCCTCATACGGGAAGCCACCGGTTTCAAGCTTGGAAAAAACAAGCACCTCATTGATGTGAATTTCAAAGCTGCCTAAAGTAAAGGAAAACAAGGGAAACGCACGATTAAATTCACACACCGTTTTCAGGGCCGAAATCACCTCCAAGTCATCTAAGATCAAGGTTCGAACATCACAAGGAACAGATTATGTGGTTGTTTACCTCTTCTTCCCACAAAGCCTGACACATCCGCTTCGGGAAACTCACCCTTGATCACCTGGGCGAGCTCCTGATAGCGGGGTCCGTATCCTCATCCACCACTGCAACGACAAAACAAACAAGCCGCGTGAGCTAACGGTGCTAACCAATAGTATTCAATAGAAACAAAATACAATTCTAAATAGGTCTCGCGTAAATATAGGAAGCGATTCTTCGTTAAAACACACAGAAAACGACAGTGAGTGAGATAAAACATAACTAACCAGTATTCCACTTTAATTATCACCCCCATTATGCTGCTAGACGCACTCTTCCGGGATCGTCGTCTCTCGCTACTTCGCGTTCCACGGATTTGGTTTATATGGAACACCGTGTCAAGGAGGGGCGGGGCTTTAAGGACGCCAGTAGACGTTTAGGGACCGACGTACGCTTACAAGCGTAGAAATTGTTATAGACGACGCGACACGGAGCTGACGTAGAAGTGGACCGCCATCTTGGATGGGTTTTTTAAGGACAGGTTCAATAACTGCATGTTTGAAAACGGATGATACAGTGCCAGACTGTAGGGATAAATTAATAAAATCTACAATGCATGGGCCAATTTGGTCAAACATCCTGATTAACAAGGTAGTAGGAATGAAATCAGCAGGGCATGACGTTAGTTTCATGTGTTTCTGAATGAGGCAAATGTCCTGGAGTAAAGACAGACCATGATTGAGAGGGAGGGGGTTGGATTGGGGGGGGGGGGGGGGTAGGAAGTAGATGGGGGTGAAAAACTTGCCCTGATTTTTTCTGATTTTATTCTCAAAGAATGCTAGAAAGTTGTTACAGTCAGACCTTGAGTAAACTGGCATAAGAGGGGCGTGAGGAGAAACAATCTGGTTTATGGTGTCAAACAGGACTTTAGAGTTATTTTTGTTTACAGCAGTCAGCTGAGCAAAGTAAGTGGTCCTGGAAGTTTTCACCATCTCATTCAGAGATGTTATCAGTTCTTTCAAGTACAGCCTGTGACTTCCTAATCTGGTTGACTTCCAACGTCTCTCAGCTCTGCGGCATGTCTTTCTGAGACTGTAAATGTTTTGATTAATCCAGGGACTTTTTCTCTTGCTAGAAAATGTGACCTGCTTAACAGGAGCCACTTTATCTAAGATACTGTAGCATTGTTTATCCAGTGACTGGATGAACAAGCTTGGATCATCACCCTGAACTGAGCTGCTGTCAAATAATCTAGAAAATCCATCCACTGCTGACTAATGATACGCCTCTTTGATTTTAGGTTGTGAGGGACAGATTCAACATTAGATTGGACATTAAAGAAAATGCAGCTGTGGTCACACATGACTGTGGCCCCCAGACTCAGAACTCTCTCCACCTGAGCCTAAAATCAGTGGACTCAGTGGTCTCCTTTAAAAAGCAGCTGAAAACTCACCTGTTCAAGCTGGCTTTTGCGTGACCTTCTTAGCTACCCACTCCTTATTCAGATCTTTCTATCAATTCTGTCCTTCCTGAGATCCACTGATCACCTTTCTTATTCATTTTTTCTTTCCCTTTCGTCACATTTTTTATTACAACTTTTTTATTTTCTTCATTTTATGATACTTTTAAATAACTTTTTATTAATTTTTGTTTTTGTTTTTATTCTTGTGAAGCGCCTCGCAATGTTTTTTTTTTCGTGAGAGGCACTTTGTAAAAGATCATTTCTGGTTCTTCTTCTTGTAAAGGATAAAAAAGTAGTTAAAGAAACACAGTTAGGCCTACATTTATTATGAAAAACTAACTAGGTATGGATGTAAAAACAATTAAAGTTAAATAAGGTAATATGTAAATCTATCAAACTGTAAAACTTTAATCATAAAACATAAAAAATGTTTAAATAGGTGCAATTAGAGAATAAAACACTGTTTTAACTAAAAGTCATAGCTAAATGTACATTAAAGTAAACAAGAGATTAAAAGTTGTGGACCAAGAAGTTGACTAAGAGCATTACTGAATAAATATGTTTTTGAATTAGCTGTCCCTCAGAAAAGGACCATTCTAGGAAACTGATGCCTCCCTGTGGTTTTAGCTCTATTTGGTATTTTTGAAGGATATTTCCCAGAGGGCATGGACTTTCTGGAGGGGTCAAGATAAAAGCAAGTCTAACTAAGACCATAAACTACCAAAAAGTGAAAGAATGTTGAAGGTTAGATTAGATACCAACATGTTTTCCTGTTGCTATGATCTGTAGCTATTTGGCTGAGTTTAGGTCTTTTCCCCTCAGCTCCTCAGTCACTTATCATGCACACCTGTTCCCCATTATTTCAATGTCCCTGTTTTGTAATCACATAACATAATATGTCCTGGTTCCTTTAACTTGCGTCAGGCCACCTTGTCAAGTCCTGTTGTTTTAGGTCCCTACTTCTCATTATAAAGCCAGTTTTTATATTCACCTACGTACCCCATACCCTTGGCTGCACTTTAGGCCCAACTATCACTCATTACAGGACACCTATGCACTGCAAAGCAGACAGTCTTTTTCATGGCTGAGTCCTGTACTCAAAATTCTGTATTTTTTTCCTTTGCATCAAAAGATATAACACACTACACTAAAATTCTATGAAAGATATGGAGCATAAATGTAGCCCAACACTGGATTGCTTATTGCTTATTACCACAGCAGCTTAGTTAAGTAATGCATGAATTAACTGAGGCTCTAAACAACAAACAATGTTGTGCAGTTCTATTCACTGATTTCTCAAAGGCCTTTGACACAGAGTATCATTGAAGTACATACTAAAAAAAAGATTTCTCAAAATTGAGCTCTCAGAACATGCTGTCAGGTGGTTTCAAAACTATCTGTCAAAGATACTTCAGGGTTAAGGCATCACTTCCAGCTGCCTTTATGTAACTAAAGGTGTTCCTCAGAGATCAGTTCTGGGGCCACCCCTGCTTATCCCACTAAACATATACAATCATTTTGGACCAGGGAGTATCAAAAGCAATCTTAATTTTTATGCTGATGATGACACTGTGATGTACTCGGTTCAATTCAATTCAATTCAATTTTATTTATATAGCGCCAAATCACGACAAGAGTCGTCTCAAGGCACTTCACATAATAAAAATTCCAATACAGGTCAATGCATTAAGCCAATCAGAAAAAGTTTCCTATGTAAGGAACCCAGCAAATAGCATCGAGTCAGTGACTAGTGTCAGTGACTTTACAGCAATCCTCATACTAAGCAAGCATGCAGCAAAAGTGGAGAGGAAAACTCCCTTTTAACAGGAAGAAACCTCCAGAGGATCCTCGCTCAGTGCAAGCAGCCATCCTCCACAACTCACTGGGGATCAAGTAGACAGAGCACACACACACACACACACACACACACACACACACACACACACACACACACACACACACACACACACACACACACACACACACACACACACACACACGTAACATTTATATGGTTACATTGTGATTTCTTAGTAATGTTTTATGTTTATGTATTTGGCAGACGCATTTTTCCAAAGCGACTTACATGTGATAATCGGCATGTTGCCCTTGAGGCTAACAACAACAATAACAACAACAACTTGACATCAGTCATGGAGAGGAGGGAACAAGGAGTGGACAGTAGAGAGGGGGGACAGGTGCAGGGCGGGTGCTAGTTTAGAAGATGCTCTCTGAAGAGCAGGGTCTTCAGAAGTTTCTTGAAAATTGAAAAGGAAGCCCCTGTTCTGGTAGTGCTTGGTAGGTCATTCCATATTTGTGGAACGATGCATGAGAAGAGTCTGGATTGTCCTGAGCGTGGTGTAGGCACTGCTAGCCAACAATCCTGTGATGACCAGAGCGGCCGGGCCGGGACGTAAGCCTTTGCAAGAGGATTCAGGTAGATGGGAGCCGTACCATCTCGGACTTTGTATGCTAGTGTTAGCAATTTGAATTTGATGTAAATATTCTATTTGGTGAGAGATAAACTTTATTGTATTTATCCTAGTGAATCTATAATTAAATGGGGAAACTAGTAGTAGCACATTCAATGTCAAGGAAAGTAAAGTGTTATTATCAGGAGAGGGAGAATGTTTAAATGGTTAGCAACAGTGTTCAAGACGATGGCCCCCTCCATGAGGGCACCACTGTCATGTTGTGGTGAAGAAATCTAACCCACGACATACAGAATCAGATCTGAGACGGTGTAAAATGTTTTAAATAAGAATTTATTGAAGGGAAACCAAGGAAGCAGCGTAAACGTAGCTGAGTTCTTGCACGAGGAAGCTGGTGCGGGAAAACTGTGGACAGATCGGAGTTAGATCCAATTTGCGGAAGGAACATGGAATCAGACTTGTGCAGAGGACTTACGGTCTGGAGAGGTGGGAAATGGTTTGAGAGAGGAGTGGTCCGGTCTGGGTAGCAGGGACTGAGATCCAGAAATGAGACGTGGAGGGAGCTGAGCTTGGGGAGGTCCAGGAAGGTTAGGTGGGCAGCTGGAGGTGGTTCTGGCCAGGGGAGAGGCTGAGAGACGAGCGGAGTTGGAGATCCAGATGGTGTGGGCTCCAGAGTTCTGCCAGTCAGAGATGAGTGTGTAGGTTTGTCTGGGAACAAGAGCAGGAGGTCAAAAAGGTAAAATCCAAAATCCAAAAGCACATCAAATCTCAAAAAATCCAAAAACAAAACAAATGTAGTTCTCAAGAGGTTACAGAGCTCGAATTAGTTTCTCAAGTGGCTGCTAGAAGGTACCCAGGTAGAGTAATCATCCAGCGAAGTGTAGGAGTCTCCCAGCTGCTTAAATACCCCTGGCCAGCTGATGAGCAGATCTGCTGCAGCTTGGTCACCTCCAGACACGCCCACCTGCAGAGGGAAACTCAAAAGACAGGGAGTGACAGCAGGGAAATACCTCAGACCGTGACAGTGCCCCCCCCCCCTCAAGGGACGCCACCCGGCGGCCGAGCAGAGGAGGAGGAGGAGGAGGAGCGGGCCAACTCGAAATCCCGGATGAGAGAGGGGTCATCGATCCATGACCTCGGGACCCACTGCCGATGTTCCGGGCCATAACCCTCCCACTCGACCAGGTACTGGAAACCTCGGCCACGAGGTCGCACATCCAGAAGGCGCTGGACACGGTAACCGAGGCTCCCGTCAGCGAGACGCACAGGAGGCGGAGGGTCGACAGGAGGGCACAGGGAACTGGAGATGACAGGCTTAAGGAGGGAGACATGAAAAACGGGGTGGATCTTCATGTGGGACGGCAGATCCAAGCAGACGGAGGACGGGTTGACGACAGCAGAAATCGTGTAGGGACCGATGAATGTGGGGGAAAGTTTCTTGCAGTGGTCCTTTAATCTGATGTCCCTGGTAGAGAGCCAGACGCGCTGTCCAGGCGCATAGTCTGGGGCAGGACGCCGGTGCCGGTCGGCCAGACGCCGGTTGCGTTCTGCAGTCCTCTGTAGGGCCTGTTGCATGGCCGCCCAAACCCGTCGGGCCCCCTTCAGGAACTGAGGAACGGAGGAAACTGTGGTGG